AAACATGATGTCAGAGTTAGAGAGATTATCTGTATAAATTGTGTTATCATTTAGCCCAAACAAACAGTGAGGAAAGACTAACCCCCTCCCTTTGAAGACAATGAATAGTTACTAAGTTTGACTTCTAATGAAAGCCCTTTTCAGTAAAACGCAAGATACGTACAGCAGTTGGTCCAGAAATGAAAATCTGTTGTAACAGCCAAAAGTCAAAGGCAGCTATAAATACAGACCTTAATCTTTTCAAGAATCCCTTAACGAAGCCTATAAAACTGATTATATCTTCAGGCCTAACTCAAGTGCAAATTCTTACTCAGAAATAAGTAACAGCCTTTCAAGTATTACTTGGAGACCAATACAGAAACAAAGAACAAGAATACAGAGTACGGGTTCAAAACCCACCATGGTGGAATATGAATTACACTGCATTTAGAATAAACAATCAATGAGGCAGCAGAAGCCTCAGCTACGTGTCCATTTTTCTGAGAGAGAAACAATTTCCAGAAGCGGTCAGAGTGGGATAAAGAAACACTGCATCATTCCTTTTAACACAACAGAAATGGTCTTTGATTATTTAAAAGCCAATTGCAAAGATCTGTCTTCAGAACCTCCTATTGGAGGTTTAATAGAAAAAAAGGTGCAAGTACACTTACCAGCAACACTGTAGTAAAGTAGAGACTTTTGTTTTAACAAAATCTATATTTATACGATTACATTTCCTATGGTTGAGGGCAGCTGTAATTAATGGATTTCCCTCCTTCCCCTAATGCAGTCATTTGTCAATTTAAACACAGAATGTCCAATCAATTTTGATGTATTTAGTAAGCAATTTGTCAAAGAGTACTGCATACCAGTTAATATATTAATTCTTGTCATTGGCCTGCTTCTGACAACTGCAGGTCTTCTCCATAAAATTGGTCCTGATGAGCCAAAACTCTTGCCTGGAACATGAAGGTGCCCTTTCCAATCCCAGAGGAGAGAAATCATAGCTCATTTTATTAAATAACTTTATGGGGCAGTTTCTGGTCTGATTTCAAACTTTTTCCATTAATGTGTTATTTGTCCACATCTCGGATATCTCAACTACAGTCCATTCCTCCAGCGGAATGAACAAGTGAATTCAAAGAGGAAGGGTAAGGAAGAAAGTAAATAATAAGTATGAAATGAGGATGGAAGACTTTCTGCTGTTACGCAAAGTTACCGATTCTCACTGCAATTCCATTATGTGCCATGCACATGTCTGGTTGAATTCAAACATGCGCAAATGGAAGGTACAGGAGTCAGACACAGGAGACACAAATTAAGTCAATCAAGTATGTTAGACTTTGGGTCGTGGTAACAAAAAGAAAAGTTTTTTCAATAGAAGAAAACCTGAACACAAGCAGCAGATTGTTCTGGACATGAAAAGCACATCTTAACAGCACGCTCCAAGAGTTAATACTGCCAGAGCATCTTAATTCCTAAGTACTAATCAGCGGGAAGTAAGTAGTATTTAAAGAATAATTAATGATGAAACTTGGCAATTCTCTGAAGAAAGCCAAGTCCTTTACATTGCCTGTTCCTGTGGACACCAGAAACCCTCCTCCGTGTGCACGCAGAGCCTCGCACAACTCTCCGCCCACCCTCAGGCCTGCTGTGACCGCCTGACTATACCAGATGATGGTATTTACATTGTAGGGAAAACATCTAGAAAGAATGAAATGTGACTTGATGTATATTCCCTTCCTCTGTTGTGATTTGATTTAGGAGTTGCTCAGAACACAGGCAAATAAAGAGGGAATACTAGAGACACAAATAAAGTAAAATATTATGCATTAAATCTAAGAAGGGTAGGAGAGAAACATCTAGCACCCAGCACTGAAGACCTGGGGACTGTAATACATCCAGGGCTTTGCAGGATGAACTCTTACAAAAAAAAAACAAAAACAAAAGCAAGTCTGAAATCTGCTCTGTCCGAAGGCGAGGAGATTCCTGGGACTGGTTATTTTTATTCTGTCCAACTGCAAAAGGCCTGAAAGAGTCAGGAGCAGGATACCAACGCTTCCCTCAGGCCAGCAGCTTGTGGAATTTAACATACAAGTTCACTTTCAAGCCGTGAACTTACAGAAAGGTCCAAATCTCTTGCTACCCACTTTCTCACCTCTCTGCACCAGCCACGGCCACGATAAAGTGCCCAGGTAGATACGAACGGCTTCCTCTGATCCAGGTTCCTGCAGCAGATGTCACAGATGACCTCAAAGCAATGAAACAGCTGTGCTAATCCACTTACAAATACCCTTGGGATAGAGGTCTTGGACACTTGTACAAAATATTTCTTCAAACAATGGTTCCTTGTTACTTCCTTATTAGCTGTGAATGTAGCTTTAAGATCCTTTAAAAATATTAAAAGCTGAACTGTGTGTACATAACTAAATGCAGTATTTGTAGAATATTCTCTTTTTATCCAAAGAACTCGCTGGCCTACTTTCTACTTTTTAGAGACTAAAGAAGATTTTGGTCCTGTGTTTTGGCATCAAACTGCATATTTATGAAAACCTGCACAGTATAGCCCTCCAACCAGACCGCCAGACGTTTCATTGTTCTGCCCGTCTGCTGACAGAGGTACTCTGTGCTAAAAAGCACACTGAGTATTTTTCAATGACCCAGGGGGCAAAGGTCACTTATTATAAATGGATAATGAGACCTAATGCAATGTTCTGAGTGTGGACAAAGAAAGGGTCTATCCATACCCCCTTGTGACTTGGTCATTCAGGCTTTTATTTCCCCTGCACACTTAATGGAGCCAAACAATTGGCAGAAATGCTATACAGAAACTGAGAGAAACTGCTGTATTCTACCTCTGATAGACAGATACAAATAGTGACCCTGAAACGGCGCCAGAATTCCTCTTACCGCTAACGTGGCAGACAGATGTAACATTCACCCTAAACCCCTCTTTAGCCATTTGCTGGCAGTTAAACTTACGGACGGAAGCGATAGCACATCAACCCGCAGGCTTCAGCTAACGTCAACCCATCACATGGCTGCAGGTAAGCAGAGCCAGGTAAGTTGGGTTTAGCACGTATTTAGTGGGGGGAAAGCTAACAGGTGGCTTGGACTCTTTTGTGTGAATCCTGGTTTGACTCCATGTTTTCAGAAACTGCACTGAGTAGCTTCAGATACAACAAATCCAGAAGAGAACTAAAACTTCAAAGAAGACCAGATACATAAGAACTTCTCTGTTAATGCCATTTTTACTATGTTCTCTAGACTCTTTTTTATCTTTAGAGTTTATTATTTTATTTTTCTTTACATTCCACATCCATCTTAATGAATTCCTCTTATGTGAGTTAAAACCTGAATTAAAATTCTCCACTGCAATTCAAATAATACAAATTCATTATTTTGTTGGAATATAGCCACCACTCATTCTTCTTTCTTTAAAAAGTTTCCCATACAAAACCATTTGAAATGCATAATATTTGAGCTGTTTATGAAATGACACATCCATGCCTGATTTCAGTATATGGGATAAATGTGATCTCTGTATATAAGCACCGATGCTCACAGAACTTTTGTTCAGACTGTATCTATGCAATACATTGCTTTTAATTTCAACAGAAACTACACAGCAGATGAATTACTTCTACAAAGTGTCCAAAATGCTCCAGACAGCATTCTGTGCTCCAGGACTCGTCCTGCAGTAACTGTACACTACATACAATAATTTATCTATTTATACGCTTGATAGTATGCAGGGGAAATAGCTGAGACCAATATGGATGAGGAAGACACCTGAAACTAGAGCAGAGAATTTGGGGAGGGTGAAGGAGGCGGGGGGAGAAATCTGGCCCAGCGAGGCACGCTGCAAGGCCTCACAAACATAGGGAGTGTTTGTGAATTCAGTCTAGCTCTGGAGACTGTTTCAAGACTGCTCAGTATTGCTGTTTTCCCTGAAGACGCTACGTTTGATAGTCCAGCCAGAACACTGCAAAGCCATAGCCTTGACAGCTCTAAAGAACAATAAATGCACACCTGCACGCGCATAAATGCACATGCAACAGATGGCCAGGTAGAAGCAACAGATCTGATCTGGCGCCAACGCCATTTTTACCAGTCACGTTCAGACATACTGCCTTTTGGCCCAGGTGCCCACTTGCTGCATTTTAAAATGCCTGCGTCACGTAACATGCTGGCATTAGCTGCACTGACAACTGTGCCGAGGGTCCGGTTTCCCCATGAGTACCTTTACATATGCCAAGAGTTGTTCCCTTGTGAAACTTGGACTGTCGTAACACTTTGATCTTGACTACACCCTATGTCAGAACAGAGAGACTTGCTATCCACTGTTAATATTCTCCACTTCTTTGAATTGTCAATATAAAAAATGACATAAATACTCATTTATCTATAAAAACAATATAAAATACCTGCGTTTATACATATATATAACATACAAACACCGTATATCTATAGCTATATCTATATATATGTCTGAATATGCAGTGCCATGCGTATCGGCTCCCCGCGAACGGCGTGGCTGGAGAAGACACAGGACAGGGGAGGTGGGCAGCCATCCCTGGCAGCAATGCCGGGGCTCCCGAGGGAAGCAGCTGCCTGAGACGCTGCCTGGAAGTAGCCCAGCAATCAGGAGTTCCAAGGGAGAGGAAAAACGCAGATGCACTCGCCTGTCACCGAGTATTGAATTCACAAGAGGAGATGGCTAAAAGCATGAGAAGAAATGAGGTGAAGAAACCCTGAAGGCTTCAGGGGATGTAGTGGGTCACACTTGCAAGGCTTGCCAGGCACTCACATCTTGGCTGTGTTAGCCTCGAAACTTTGACTCATATCAAAAAGAAACGGTATTCGCTACTCTGCCGTTACTAATAGAGTTGGTTACACAAGGCCCTATTCTGGAGTCGAACATACACTGAAATAAATGAGGGCTGAAAAATCAACTCGGAAAGTCACACTTGGCTTAAAATGTGCACATAAGACAAGACAAAAAGTTGTCAGCTACTCACAGCCAGCAAGAAGATACTGGTAGTACTGTACGGCGTCTGCAGCCAGGAGCAGTGGATGGTTCGCATTAAATGGTGGTTGGAGTTCATTCCACTGAGGAGTTCTGAGGTAAAACACAAGACTATTAATATTTAAGCTAATACAGAGAATGTAAATCAGTGTTTCTGTCATCACATGTAATTAGCTATACAAGCTCACAAAATGTTTGTAATTATTTAAATTAGCTTGTTCAAACACTGCAGTACACCACAGGCAGTTGAGCAGCATGACCAAATCACGCAGATTGTGAGGCCAAGACAATACTTGTGTGTTGACTGCAGCATGTATTGGGCAAAAAAATGATGAAGGCGGTTTAGATTAAGTTGGTAAATATGTTTAGGACCCTTGTAAGTCATGCTGACGTTCTATAAACACACAACAGAAACTGGGGAACTTTTTTGTTCTCTTAACTAGCATTGCTCTGATACTGTAAAGTCATTGAGCATTTACAAACTGTGAAAATAAAGCTGTGTAAAGTTATGGACTATTGATCCAATTAGAATTTTCAATTCCATTACAACCTACTCATTTCAACAATAATGGTCTAGAAGTCTGTGTTGTAATTTTAATTAGGGTGGGCCATTCCTAAATAGCTTGGTAAATCAAGTATTGATCAATCTAGTCCAGCCATAAGCAGCACTAAGGAATATAGGAGCCAAGAAAAATCGATAGAAAAATATTTTAAAACGTCAAAAGCACTGACAACACTTTCTCATCAATTTTTGTTTACTTTCTTCCACATGTCAGGAATAATTTCTTCAACTATCTTAAGAAATGCTACCTTCAGCTACTTATAGGATAACTTGCCTAATTCTTTGCAATGCTTCATCATGGAAACCTCACTCATTTCTTATGGCAGAATTCTGTACTTTAACACTATTAAGATAATTGTTTCTAGCCCTTATATAAAAAGCTAAATTACAATCTGATCATTTAAAATCACCAACTGATAAGGATCTCTATTGATCTGTAAACATGTTCATGTAGCTCCACGTCTCTAGAAGGATTTAAAAGGTTAGTTCCCATTCAGACATGTAAGCACTAACAGAACTATATGAAAAGGTAGGCTTGAATTTGCCTTTAAGTCTTTAAGATAAAAATACAGGTGGAAAATCAGCATGCAGTTCATTCACCCCATCCAAAAAAAAAAAGATCACGACCATTTTCTGGACAAGAAGAAGAGGAAGAAGTAAAGGAATGAGCTACCTAACCAAAGTCCAGCTGGCTCTTGGGCATGTCATCATTTCCAAAGGTGTGTCATCGCTAATCTTCGGAGCAGTGCTGAGCGGACGTGGTTCCAATACGTGCTCCACCAGGCTACCATAACAACTGATAATATACAACGACTCCACTACAAACTGTTTTGATTGATCTGTGTGCAAGAGGAAAGAAAATCTTATTGCAATAGCACAGCAGAAACAGAGAAAACACTTACAGAAATAGTAGACTACTTATTAAGTTTCTTGCCTCTATATGCCTGCAGTCAAAACTGTGAATTGCAAGTGAAATGGCTGGAGAGACAAAGAGAAAATTGTATAAAGCACAAAACTTTCCCCTTTTTTCAAAAAATTACAAATATCTCATATACGAGAAGGTGGAACAGAGTTTCTCACCAAGGTGTGTTCAGGTCATTACACATTGCCAAACACATGTCTGTACATTTGCTTTAGCAAAGGCGTCTCACCTTTACCTAACAGCTTTTTCAGTGAAACTTCACACAGTATCTTTGGATTGAACTGTCTGTGTTTCTTTTCTGGCACTGTATCGTATTAAAAGGATCAATGATTTATTTCACTAATTAAAATTTCTTGTAAATTGTCCAATTTACCTAAAGCACCCCAACCATGTTTCCAGAAATCTCCAGTCACCAAGTTTAAGGAACAAAATCTACAGATAAGCACAACCTGCTCAAAGTTATCACAAGTGCAAAAGTAAAATAGAGAATTTAAATTTAAATTTAAATGCAAGTCCTATTTTTGAAATATACCAACCTTTTTCTCTTTTCAGACCAGGGTTGTTTGCAAACCATGACCGTGATGATCCAAAGACTGCAGCGACACAAAACTCTCCTCCCACAGACTTACTGGGTGAAATCTGCGGAGCTGGTTTGGATTTGCTTAACAAAAGAACAAAATAAAATGATGAAAGTTAATTCCCAAAAATTTAGATGTCCCTTGCTTAATAGTCATTCTAAGATATTAATTCGGAAGTGGTGAATATCTGCAGTTCCCACAAGATTTGGCAGGATTTAGAGATGCTTAGTGTTTATTGATAATAGGTCCCAAATTCCCCTTGATCATGGAACTCATTAATTTGAAAAACAGTGCTGGCTCATAATGGAGAATTGGTTGGATTGTTTAAAAGACCCAATATTGAATATTTGCATTCAATAGAAACAACTTTGGAAGTGAATACAAACGTTTATAACTGTCAGTCCTTTGGGAATGAAATATAGATTCTGGGTCAGTCATTCTAGGTGGTTGATAATCTCTTGCATTTTCAAAAGAAAGTAATAATAATAAAATAAACTAATCATAATGCTAATGCTGACTGCTGATCAGTTGTAACTCAGCACAGTCCTGATGCCATTGAAACCACTAGGATATATGTGACATGGGCAAAAAGGAAAGAGGGATCAACATGCGAAGGATACAAGGGAAGGGAAACAACGCATACACTCATGAGCTACGTGTTAAAACAAATCAGCAATTCTATTATGTAAAAAGAGATTAAGATACATTCTACTCTGAAATTCCACAATGTGCATGTAGCAGATACAGCGGCTTATAATTATGTTTCATTGAAACATCATTTAATGTTCCTCCTTACAGGAATCTGAAGAGACAGAACACTCTGCTTTATATACACTCAAACCTATGTTCAGAGCATTGCCTGTTTCCTCAATTCATTAAACCAGGATTTCACCCTTTCCTTAAGAGAAAAGCTGAAAAGTTCATGCAGGATTCCTCCTTCTCCATGTTCCCCTTTTCCCAGTCTTTTAAATTAGATTATTTTATATTTCTCTCTCTACTTTATTTGACTGCTCGCTTCTCTTGCTAACTCTTTGTCCTTTCCTTTTTATTTCTATTCATTTCTTGTTCCACATTATATCAGCCTGTGATTCCACCATCATGTTAACTTGGTCATTTTTAAGCAATCATCTTCAATTCTGAGAAGTGTGTGTGGGCATGTATGTACATGCAAACAAATTATTGCAAATATTATGATGGAATTAAGCAGCAGAAAAATATTTTAAAACAGCAGAAAGCAATTCAGACACTATGCCTAATTATAATGGCACTCAAGTCATAGCGCTCTTTTTTGTGTTAATGACAAATTACTTGCATACAGGTGAAGTGGTTCAGCAGAATGAACCAATAGGGATATTAAAGCAAGAATAGATTATGAAACAACATAATGTAAAAATAACATAAGAAAAACAAGTTAAACCAAAATTATTCCACAATCTGGGCTTCTCTGAAACTCCTGCACCTGGCTGCAGAGCCAGCACCCATCCAAAGGTCTTGGTCCCTTACAGCTCAGTCCTGATCTCGCTGAAATAAATGGCAAAACTCGCACCCATCTCAAACACTTAATTTCCTTCCAACAGCTAGGTGTAGTAAGTGACACATGGAAAATATGACGTACGGTTAAAAACATACAGCCTCCATCATTACTGTCATGCAACGTGAAACATTTAAAATTGCCTTCAACTTGAATTCACCTAAAGCAGCAAATACATTTGTGTAGCACACTGGAAATGAGGTCACTTATGAGAATGGGAGAAAAGACTAATTGTTTGCACTTGCACTTTATTTTCAGCCAGGTTTCTGAAGGGATTTACAGGAAGTATAACTGAGCTTCCCAACACCTTGTGCAGTATTACTCTGCCAGTTTCACAGATAGACTTACTGAAGCAGAGCGGGGCTAAGCTACTTCCCATAAATCACACCTTTCATTTAGAAGACAAAAAAAAACACAAAAAACAAACAAACAAAAAAAAAAAACACAAAAAAAAAACCCAAAACAAAAAACGAGACCTCTCAAAAGGAATTCCACCACACTGACCAGAGTCAAGGGAAAGATTCAGACAAACTTTCATGGACGCAGATCAGTCCTGAAGCTCTTGTACATGCAGGAGAAACTAGAATGTCCCAAAAGAGCAATTGCGATTTATAGTCAGTAACTTTGATATTGAACCACCACAAAGCACTTAATATCCAACTGTTAAAACTACAATTACAGATTACTGGGTCAGAAATCTGTGTTCCAAAAAGTACCTGGCTATACATATATTACCTTGCTTGCAGTGGCACTTCATGATCCGTATTAGAATATTGAAATTTGTGTTAACATATTAAGTATTTATGAGCTTCTCAGAAAAACTCAAATAGATTTCTTCCAGTCAGAAATAATCATCTGTCACAGAAACAGTAATTTTAACCAATTCTGTAACAAACTGTGTATTAACAAGTATTTTTAGCTCTCACCTTCTAAATATTCATACACTAATATTCCTTCTGAAATTAAAATAGAAATGTATCCACTAATTAGAGTCTTGTTACTTACTCATCTATACATTGATGAATGATTAGTTTTAATATAGAACAAGATTGTTCAGAAGGACAGTGTTACCCATCAATCAATACAAAGCAAACTATGAGTACAGATACAATTCAGCCATATTCACTTCCTCTTATAAACTCGTGAAAAGAGAATCTTTCTATACTCTGCTAATATTCTTAATATTCTCAATTTTCACTCAGTACAATCTGAGGTTATTAAAATTATTGAAAATGGAAAAAAAAAAAATGGGACCAAATGGTATTCTCAACTACAAACTGGAGTAAACTTCTACAGAGATATAATTGACTTCCATTTCTTCAGGTCTTCCAGCAGAAGGGGATCTGGTACTCTGGCAACACTTTTTTGCAGGATTCTCCAAACTCTTAGTCCCAAGACCAACGCTCAGCCAAATGCAGTTATAAACAACCTCAGAGGAAATGGTGTAAGCTACGTTCTATTTACATCATGTCTTTAAGATGTACATCTTTCAGGCATGCATTTAAGTGTTGGTTTCAGTGCCAAAACATTTTCCCTTCAAGAATGATGTTTTGTAGACAGAAAGAGCAAACCTTGTAAAACACGATTACTCATGTGGTTAAACTTAGTCCTGCTAAAAAATAAAGACACACACACACACAAAAAATGACTAGTGCATCATACTGGTTTAGACATATTTCTGAAAAAACTGCTGAGATGTCAACAAGTCTATTCTGAAAACTATTGTAACTAAGGAATCTTTCATTTTGCCACCATTTTACTTTATCCCTTGGTTTTCATCAATACATTCCAACTCAAATTTCTTTCCTCCAGTAAACCTCAAAAGCCCAGTTATTTTCTGTAACAGTAATGCCATTAGAAAAATATATTTTCATGTCATTGTGATATTTTAACAACTTGGAAACTATAAATCCTCATTATTATGTAGATGCAAACACCCTCTCAGCTTTATAAATGATAACAAAACAATAATGTTGAAGGTAGGTGGTGAATGACTTGTTTCTGCTATGAACTCCTGCTCTTTACTTGCGCTTAGCCTGTCGGCACTTCATAAATTATTCCAGGAACTGAAATTAAGGCACAATTGGCCCCACTTTTAAATACTGTTAATTTTACAGAATCTTCACAATATAGTAACTTTCAAGAGATTGTATCATGTTTTTACTGAAAGGGGCTGTGATGCAGGAAGAAGTGCCGGTTGTTGGGAATCGACACTAAAACAAGAAAGTGAAGCTAATGGGGCCAAAATATTCACCCTTATAATTTCAACCTTCCACATTAGAAACAACAGCTCTGTGGTGAAGACATAAAGAGGATAAAAGGGCAGTTTACTTTTTCCTGTCTGGGTCTACCCAACTGTGTAACTACACCAAGAATTCAATGAGACGCAGCAATATTTTTATCCCAATTGTATCTGTGCAAAAAACCTATAGCAGGAGTACAATAGCAATAAAAAATCCTTTCAATTACATACTTCTTGTTGTGCTAGAAATTTAATAAGAGTTGTGCCTCAGCTGAAGACCATGTTTGTGTCATTTCAGTTACCAACAGCTGACATTCACCTACCCCAGCTGAAGTCAATGACAAAGTCACCTACTAAAAGCCAAGTTGATCCCAAACTCCAACTAAATAACACAATATTTGGGGAAATTGGTGTTGTTGATAATAATTAATTTCTCTAACATAATTTTGAAGGATTATTTCCATTTTAAATGCAGAAGCACTGAGATGCAGATGTATATATGTGCAATGAAAAACATACATGAGCAGTTTCCACTGAAATGGCACAAAAAGTGATGGGAGCAAAGCAAAGAAGAAAATTAAGACATCACTTTGTCAGATCTTAAAAAGAAATGAAGAGGCTCAGCAATAGCATGCAAGTTCTTTCATGTTGACAGTGTAGGAAGAAAAGATTAAAAGCTACTGAAACAATTCAGTGCTATCGCTTGTTGACTTTTGTAACGAATCAAACTCTGCCATAATCTCTGGAAACGTACTGTTAGCTCTTTATAAAAATCATGACTAATTTTAACTAGTCTTTTTTTATTATTATTTATTTTTCTACTTGATGTAATAAAGAATTAATAAGAATTTATACTATTAAATATTTTGAAAACCATTATCAACTATGAAAACCAGAGGCTACACAGTAGAGCAATGGAGTGATCCTCAAAGAGCTTTATGCCTCATAAAATACTGCCGGCTTTTAAATTTGTATTTAAGCTGATAGTCAAACAAGTGACATGACTCTAAAAAAATAAACAGATTGCATATATAATGTACTGCTTTACAAATTCAAATATTATCAATCAAACAGTAAGAGTCTGCAAAGACTGAGAATCACACTGGTTTTTATATTCCAAATGAACAGGCTTCAAAAACGTCCGATTCATAAAACCAAAAGCACTTATCCACAACTCCACAGGTAAACCCACTGAAACGGAAACATACACGATTCTTGAAGATGAAAGTTTTACCTAGACTACATAAGTAGTAACAAAAGTATCAGGAGAAAAATATTGCATTAAATTTGACATTACATATAAAATTACTGAAAAAGTGTATCTGTCTCAAAATACATACATTTTAATTAATTTATCATTGTGCCTTAAACAAGAAAACAAAGATATGTCTCCAGTTGTCAAATCATGAATGAAGCAAGAAGCATCAAGAAAAGAAATGGTAGGCTCCTTTATTCACCAGGCAGTAAGCCGTCAAATCTCCTTTCATTTTGTTTACATAATTTTAGGTCTCATTAAGACCTTAATGGAAACAACATGATTTCTTCCCCCACCCAAAGTGTGTTTTTTATCCTAATTTCTCTGTAGGCTAGTAAAGACCATATTTTTGAGCTAGCACTGGCATTAAACAAACCACAAAAGAGTCTTGTGAAAGACAGGCAACAATTTTTGAGTCTATTTCATATATTCCCCTCTTTAATCTAGGCCTTTTAATCTTGCCTCAATCTAAAATAATTTCTGGTTGACAAGCGTCTCCGCTGCTTCTTGCAGGGGGCGACCGGCACATCCATTTGCTAAGACAATCCGCTTTCAAAACTCTTCTTCCAGAGCCTTTTCAGTTCCTCTATCACCATCAGATGAAATTCTTGGGTGCATTGTAAACTACATTTAGAAATGGTTCTTAGGAAGACTACTTCAGTAACCAGACATTCTCCAGGAACAAGGCAAGGTCACCATCTTTCCTTTAGCGTCCTACTTAGTGCCTTCGCTCTTCCCACGTGTCATGGATGTGGTACAGCTCTCACATCCCTCATCAGCTCCCCTCTGCCATTCACTTAAGAAGTCTGTACCCTCATGAAGCACTTAAGAAGTTTTTTTCTGCTGAAGATAGTATTTTGACAGAGACATAAGGGGGTGATATATGTGGAACAATCTTCTAGTAGCAAAAACAAGAGCCACATACAAAAACTCTAACAGATACTGATAGATACAGCTCATAAGTATCCTTGGCTAAACTTAAAAAGAAAAAAAACAAACCACCCCCAAAAATCCAAAAAAACCTCCTTGCTTAAAGCTTCTCAATTTTTTAAGAAAGCTGTAAGTTGGTCAAACTCCTTCCATTCTTGTTGCCTAAAACTTCAACCACCTAACCTCCATCTCATTACAAAAAGGTGACTGGAGGTTATGCAGCACTGAATACTGAACCAAGCACCAACAGGGAAACTTGTTAAAACTTGCTTTTTCTTCCGTCTGTATTTTTTTAATATGCTGCAATTTTACATATTAAAACCAAACCCCCTTATTATTTCAAATACCCTGATTTTAGCAGAACTGTGGTTTATTTTTTTCTCAATTGTGATAAGCTTCTTTTTTTTATCATTTTGCAGTGCCCATTTTGCTCGCTTCATCTCTCTTTCTGCAGTACTTTACTCACGGCTAATCTGGTTTATTTTCAAGAGGCCATCATTGATGTTTTCTGTCTGTAAGCAATGTAGTGCTACAATAATAAAGGAAGCTATACAAAAAAAAAAAAAAAAAGAGGATTGTTTTGGAAAGATATTGCAATTATTTTTGCCCACTGGGAAATAATTTCTTTTTTCAACTTCTCTGCTACTTAAAAATTCAATGCCCTCTCAAAGGCAAAAAGAAAAAAAAAAACAGTGAATGCATTTCTTTGACAATGCTTGATGGTGAACACACATCCATAGTTTAAAAGTGAAATTATGCAGTGCTTCCACCTATGGATCAGCCATGCAAGTAAACAAATCAAAAAACAAAACAAAACAAAACAAAAAAGTAATCCAAAATAAAAAAGTCTAAGCACAGAGTTACTTTTAGTGAGGACAGCAAATGATTTATAGGCATGCTGGGTTTGAACTGGGAACTCACCATGGAGCTTTTATGGAAAAACATCCTGCTCCAAACAGGTAAGGTCTTCACGTAAAGGGGAAAAATGCACAGAAATTAGATGAAAACTCAATTACCAACAAGTACACTGTATATCATGCTATTAAGATTTATGCAGAAGGTAAACAAAATAATTCTTTATAACCGTTCGTGACGCCCTGCAAGAGATGTAGACCTCTAAGGTAACCAGCCTGCTGACGCTGCCACACAGAACTGCCGAGGTGACCGGTCCCCCCGACAACGCGCGCACCCCCAGAAGCGGGCGCTGACGGGGAGGCTCTTCATGCACAACTGCCGAGACAAACGCAACGCGCCCGCCGCAAGCGGGCTTCCACCTTCTCAGTCAAGTGAGACACAGCTCAGGACTCCTTCCTGAAATCTGCCCACACATCGGAGGCAAAAGCAGCCAAGAGCCTTAAACAGACATGAAAGTCGAAACTAACAGAAAAAGTAAATTAGCATCAAAAGCAACGAGTATGCGGGTGTTTTCCATGAAACACTAAAGGTCTGAGTGGGACACGTTTACAAATTTACTCAAGAAAGGCAAAGAAACGATGACAGGTACAAGCACAACCTTTTAGAGAAAATTACTCAGCCTGTTTCCTGGGATAGAAACGCATCATTAAATTTAAAATCTTTAGCAACTGTATGACACAGCAATCTTATTCCCGCACTTAAAAGCTTGCATGGAATACAGGAAAGAGAAGCCTAACTTATTTCAAATGTATTTGATGTTAAAAATCACCTCATAGAGAGCTTAATGCTTTTGGCCATTCCACAAGTTAGATTTTATTTTATTTTTTGTTCAAATACTTTGCACAGGGTATAGTTTTTAAAGTGGTATCACAAACCATTAATTTTAGTGCATTTTTAATGGATATCTCCCTTGTTCTTTATATCACCCTTGACAAAGCCATCGCCACACTGACATTTGCATAAAATCTGAAAATGAGGAACAGGGGGTAAATTTAGAGCTTACTCACATGCTCAAGGCTTCTTTGATTCTCATTTGGGATGTAACATCACCCACAAAATTGCTGAACAATTGATTTTGTAAATGCCAATGTGTCATTTTACGTTTTATACTCTGACTCAGCGATAAATTCTAGCTAGTTGAAACAAGTGAAATATTTTCAGGCAATGAACTAACAGAAAAGATCTATCACAGAAAGATGGATAAAGCACTCAGCCAGATGCCTACACAATTAAAAGGATGCCAGCCTGATAAAAGAGAATTCTGTGCACTGCATTCGATACAAGCACAACATCAGTGAAGACATCCTCTTAAAAAATCACTTAGGTGAAGATACAAACCTAAGACATATATTCTTTGACATGCAAAGATGTAAAAATCCAATAAAGAATATAATATTGAAGGGAAAAAAATCCCTATTTTTTAATTTAATAATATAGGCCAAAAAAACATATTGAAGATCTTTTGAACTCTGTATAACAGACTAGCCTCCAACTGTTTGTATTTAAATAAATGTTTGGTTAACACTTTGGGGAAGAGAGCTGGTTTGGTAGAACCAGCTGCCTTTCTAGACATAATATATCATCTCTGAATAGTGATAAAACCCAATTGAATGGCACGATCTGTATGAATTGTATGATCTCCTGTACAGTCAACACATTCAGTCCCTGAGTCAAAGACCATTCTAATGGCTCGACAGAAGTTCAGCCCAGCACTACTGGACTGGTTAAATATGTAATGGAAAGCTAAGTCTTCTGCATAACCCATAGCCGATATAATTTAAAACCCAAAATGTATCTAGTGTAAATCTGAAGTCATTGGAGAGTGGTCGAATCTGACTTGGAGTTTGGAATTTCTAAATTATGATCCTGGGTATTTTGGCAAATGTTTTTTTTCCTCTCTGCCTCAATTTCTCTGCAAAAAGCAGGCAAAAGACATTTAGCTGAGCTCAGTAGAACATTTCAGAAGATAAAATAGGCTTTTTTTTTTTTTTTTTTTTGCACAACATACTATGTTGGCCGGATTATACTTGCAAATTAACAAATTCTACTTTAATTACAAATTGACCCAGGTGGATACATGCTTCAATGGAAGGTTTGTTTGTTTTTAACATGGATACAAAATCTTGTATCATGAAGAAAATGTAATTACACTTCAAAGGACTACAGTAGAGTCTTAATAAAGAGCCTTAAGCATGAAAGGCAACTCAGCATTTCCTTTTTTTACACAAGACCTAATTTATTTTAAGATGACCATTTTTTTCCCTATCATATTTATATAAGCAATTGTTTTTCACTATTCCCTCACTTAATACGGATGGTATGCTAATTGAGAGAGAGAATGTACAAATTATAGGATAACCCAGCCTTGAAAAGACAGCACCAGATGGCTGTGCTCGGTGACAGCAACAGAGCAATGCCAGGGCAAAAAACTCATCGTGGTTCCCTGTTCTCACAGCTAGTGAGAAATTCCAAAGGAAAATTGTGGAATGAAGATGATCTATGATGCAAAATCCCAACAGAATTTTCTTAATTTCTTATCCGATTCCGAGCTTTAGCAAATTGAAAACTGAAACATTCTTTGATTTTGTGTTATCATGTTTAATAAAAACTATTTAAGCTTTTAATAAGTTGTGCAGTACCCACTTATTCTAACGCTCATTGCTATATGTTGCCAACGCAAGAATCCTTTCATCAATAGTGACATCTGAACAGAATTTAGTGCAAATAACTGTATTTCATATCCATTACAAATCATGACAGTAGCTGCTTTATTACCAAAATGTATTATAAAAGCTAAAGGTGACATAAAACATGTCTGAGAAATGTGCCAGAAAGGGAATGTCTGGCTTCAGCATGCAGGAAAGCTGACATACTCTAGTGGATTCTTTAGCTTTACTTTTTAATTTTTTTTTCTTGCCTTTTTAAAGTTACTTTTTCCTATTTAATTGTATCATGACATCATGACTTTGCACTCCTTATTTTTGTTTGCTTCAGTAGTAGAACCTGTAATAAATTTAGCTCTCTGAATCAAAACAAAGGGGTATCAGTGATTTTCATATAATATAAGCAATGAGAAACACTAAAATGATAAAAAGGCATCAGACACTTTACCTACTTTTCCCCTTCTTTATTGGGGGTGGAATGAGGGATGGGATGAAGAACAGATAGAGTTTTATGTTTAAAAACAGACTATGTAAATCTTTTGGATGGAAAAAGTCAGGTTTATTCCTTTTCCTATAAGGTACACTGGATGTCTCTGTTTTGACAAGACCCAACTAATGCAGGTTACATCCTGCTGTTTCACTAAAGCTGTAATGAATTTGAGAATGAAGTATGATACAAATATAATGACCGTATCCCTTGAGGAAGTGAAAACAAATGCTGCTGTCAGAGAAGCCAACTTTTACAGTAGTTTTTCTTTTGGGGCAATTATTGTATCTTTTATTTCCCTCCTTCCTATTACAGCTCATCTGTGTCCCTACATTCTTACAAACTGGAAACTAACTACAACTCATTCCACAAACACAAGGAACGCTTATGAAGCTATTGCAAAGCACAAAGCTGTCTTCTAACATATTCTGATTCACTGCCTTTTATAGACAAGCATGAGATGGATCATACAGTTCTTCCCCTTTCAAATCTATAAGCTCTTTGTAAACGAGCAATGAATTAACCCATTCACCAGACTTGAGAAGGAATTCAGCATTACTGTTAAAATTCTGAGAGGGAAACTGAGGCACAGATACATAAAGACTTATTAAATCTAGCTCTTTTACTGTCTTACTTCCCTCTAAACTTTAAAATATAAGATGCTTCCTTACTCATTAGGGTTACGAGCCCCTTTGGGAAAGCCTATCTGCTCCTCAGAAAGTGCTGACAGTACAAACTCCAGGAAAGTGAGTCAATGTGATGACAAAACATAGGGACAAAAATTAAGTGCTTAATGAAGGTGCGGAAATTACAATGCGAGACTTGAAAAAGCAAGAGAAGAAACAGAGGGCAGGGAACAAGGAAATGGTAGTGATGGCAAGAAGGGAGGCAATGGTCTGAGATACTTAGTGCTGAGAATATAAATTGTATTCAGAATAAGTGAGTTTAATGACTGATCAGAAAATGCTCCAAAATCTGTAAGTTTGCGTGGAAAAAAAAGCATCTGGGATGAACAGTGCAGTAATGCCACAACTCCAGATTCTGGTCTTTCATTCCCATAGGGCTACAGTGAACACTTTTTAAAAATTTACTGCCATTCCACCTGTCAAGTAAAATGACATGCTTTGCAGCTCTGCTCGAGACAGATGATATTAAGAGCACTGATCAGTCCTTTCAGTACCTGAAAAATATTTTGCTGCCTTGGATACCAGCAGAACAAAACCCAACTTAATTTTTTGGTTAATAAAAGCTGCAAAACTTAATTAAGACGTCTAGTATTCAAGAAGCTTTTCATATGTTAAAAGAAAATAGCATGGACAAATCCAGAACTGCTAATTTTATAGCGTTCTTTTAGTCTTGCTTTTTACTTTTAGAAACGCACTGCAACAGATTAAATTTTTAATTCTTCACAAGTAGCAACAACAGAAAAGGAATCTGCTTTGAGGGCCCCTGAACAGCGACTGTAAAATCCAACTGTTTGCAAGTTCGTCTCCTTTTCTGATCACTGCACAATCACAAGGTTCAGCAGCTGCTCCCAAAGAAGAGCCTTGTTTCCTCGGAGCAGTGCTCAAAGGTGCTGACCATGTAGGTGTAAATACATCTGTCTTTTGCCATTTGCAGTAATACATGCCTCCTACACTTCTCCGAGTGAGGCAGATGGTCCCTGTCCTGTCTGAATATTACACTGTACAGACTTACAGTGCTATGTGTTTCTAGAAATACGAGGGCAGATGTTAAATATGTTAAACACACGCTTTGCCCCCTGGAGGTTTAAGTTAAGGCTGCTGTCTCAATTTGGTCATTTTAGGCATGCCAGGCTTCTTGGATCCTAGGCATTCCTCTTAAATCCCTGCTTTATAAATACAGCTTTTCATGTTAATTTTGTGTACTTTCATCAAGTATTTTGGATGCAGAACAAATGAAGGAAGCTCTCAGCTTAGCGTTACACATCTACACAGGCTTCACTGAAAATTATGATCCTCATTCATGAAAACTCTATTTACACAGCAGGGTATTTCCCATGACTCTTGTTTTCCCCCCTTACATAAGCCTCACTGAATGTTTTAAATTTAATTAGTTTTAAAAATTACACAAAATAATAGGACAGGGACAGTTTATGAATAGTAAAATTTACTTAAAGAAAACTGTGAATATGAACACTCTCTAAACATGTTTAAGATATTTAAAACATTAAATGACATAATGCAGACTTACTACATTTGCAATAGTTCTAGACAAGTTTGCTGGTATCGCCACGGCATTAAGGAAACAGCCTTTGTAGAGGCCACTCCATGAGTTACTATTGTAAACTAAAGTGCTATTTGCCTGATCACCGTCCTCACCATCGCTCCCATCATCCTACCTTCCCCCCAGCAGACCCGCAGATGGCTTACTATTTTCTGTCTACATCTTGTCCTACCTGGTTCTAAGTGTCTATTCCGTTTCTAGGAGCCTATGGACAGAGTCCAGAATTATATTTCTGTACTCTTCAAGTCTCCTTTTTGATATTTTCCCTCTTTGAGGACCTGGAACTCCCTGCTTATCTCCATGCACCCCAAGCTCTCTGATCCCACCTCCCTTCCTGTCCTCATCCAAGATCACACCTTTCTATACTTTCAAAATTCATCTGATTGCTAGCAAAATTCGTTTCCCACACCTGCGTTTAAATTGTAAGCAAAAAAACCCACAAAAAACCACAAACAAACAAAAAAACAAAAACAAAAAAAAATAGGCAACTGAAATGTGTGTGTGGAAGAAGTTAAACCACAACATTACCATCACACTGTTTCTTCAGTGTCTTATAGGTTCCATTTACATTTATCTATGAAGTTCAGGAACTTATCTGAAGACAATTAGGGCAACTGCATGTTCAATTTGGCCCAACAAACCTAATGAAATTCCTGTTTACAGCAGCAAGAGCAGGATTGGATTGTTAGATAAACATGTATATAGATACCCATGTATATATGTGAATACATACGTAAGCTTCAGAACATCATCATGCATACTTAGTGCACTAAGCAAAACAGTAACAGATTTTACAGGATGTCCTGAACAGTCAATCACAGAACATGGGAATTACTCAGGGAGAAAGGGAATATCCATGAGCTCGCACCTGAAAAATAATTCCTGCTTCATGAAACACAAGGTAAAATTCACCTTACTATCAGGGCTTGAGCAAAAAAACACCGAAGCAAGCAAGACAGTGCCTGCATCATTTGCCAAAACACAGGAAAATGTTATGAACCTGTGGGACTCTGAATTACTTTGTCCAACTACATGCCATACTCAATCTACTTTTCTTAAAAATATAAAAGCCATCTGTAAATTAATGGATCAATTGGGCTTTTAACTAAAAAATATTCAGGGGTTTGAACAATCAAACAGTGAGAGGGAAAAAAATACAATATTCACCCACTAGCTTTATGTATTAATTGCAATAACTGAAGATTTGAAATGTAGCAAGTGAAAAATATCAACTGTTAAACAGTAGCAACTATAAAATTGTTACAGTTTATGAAGCTCACAGAATCTTCTTAGTTGTAGTAACATACATATATTTAGTAGAGCTTCTCACAACAAATATTCGGAAGTGCTTTATCATGGCACAGTGAGAAGTACCAAAGTGCAGCTGGCTCTGGAATGAAAGTCCACACGTGAATTTCACAGTACAGAACAGTCACTTCAGAGGAAAATAAGGTCAAGAAAACAGCAGGATTAAGTTTTGTCTTTATGCTCAACCTGGCTTACAGTCTCTCCATTTCTGATAGTCAAAAATCACTTCTGCTTGAAAAGTTTGGAAATCAAAATAAACAAACTTTAAAAAAACAAAGTAAACCCATAACTTATTGTGATTGAATGCAGCTCTGCTTATGTTTCATGCCAATTCCTGGTGTGAAACTTCTCCTGATGCCAGCATACAGTATTCCCCATATGGCAGACTGCAAGAAAATGACCCCACCCAAATGAACGCTCCTGAATTTTTAGAGATGGTTTTTCAGGTTTTGTTAACACAACTGATGCTGGTTTTCTTTTCTTGTCTCCTCTTCCCCCCACCCCCCTTCTGTTGCCATTAAATTACATACACTGACATTAAAATAAGGAATAAAACTAAGTATCACTAGTAACGCAAATTATTTCCACATTAAATATAAATAACAAAGTTAGGAAAGGTTTGTGCAGATACACTTACCCTGTGCGTTTGGTGATGGTCCCTAATGTCATTGGCTGTTTGATTTGAGCGAGAGGCAACACCACAGTCAAACTTGGAAGAGGCAGGAGTCGAGGGTTCCCAGGATTATTGTTTGTGAAGTTATTGTAAGTGTCTTGGCTGTTCAATTTACCTTGGTTGGATAGAGAAGTAATAAAACACATTACTGGAATTTTTTCTTCATTTATCATTATTAACAACTGCCTGAAATAAGCCATTGCCAAAAAAAAAAAAAAAAAAAAAAAAAAGAAGGAAAGAAATAATGAGCTCCTATTGTAAGCAATATGTCATCTTCATTTCAGGTAAAAAAAAATTACAATGGAAGCAGTAATTCGTTATTTATTTTTATATATGGGGATAAGGTCCCCTTCCATAGAAGGGAAATTATTCCTGCTGCTGCTGCTTGCCTGACAGTTTTGTTCACCAAAAAGTTTTCAAGTTTGATTTGAAGAACAAGCTCTCGATTGCAATTCTCTATTTAAAAAAAAAAAAAAAAAAAAAGAGAGAGAGTATCTGGAAGGGAGTTACTTTCCTAAAGTACCACATACAGTGTTAGTAATTGAAAGTCCTGAAAAAGGTTGCTTTTGTTGTCTCTACGGATAAAGGCACACATAATAGTAATCTTCTGAACTAAGACTGGAGGAAAATAACAAGCAACTATATAAAATAAAGCCATGCCAAACTACATGTAAAAATGAAGAAAGTATCAAAAAAGTAACCAACTTCATATTCATTCAAAAAGACAGAAAACAAAACATAGGTACTTAAAAAAGGAAGGGGAAAACATAACAAAAAATTCCCAACTACCCTAAATTTAGCTTGTTTCAAAGAGGTCTGTGCTGGATATACGCCCAGCTTAGATACGCTTTCTTACTTTCTGCATCATTCTGTAGTCACAACCTTTCATTCTTCAGTTAGAAAAGGAAACTAGCTACAAATTTCATGGACAGTAAAGAAAGAAATGTGAAGAAACCAAAGAAAGAAGTTAAACAAAAAAGGGGCCAGTCTGTTTATAGCAGAATCAAAAGTGCTTTAAATAGACAAGCAACCATGAATTAAAAGGTTTAGATCATTAACTTGTTTTTCTGTGTTCCTATAATGCTGTGAAACGCTGGCTTTGTTCTTAATCAAAAGGGAGCCATATTGGGAATTAGGTTCCTAAACAACCGATGCATTCTACATAGATATTATACAAATCCCAGGCCAAATCCATACAATCTGACTGAAGAGCAGCCACCTTTTTTCAAGGAAGAAAAACAGCACAGAAGAGGGTTTCTCACAGGAAGCTGCCTGAAAAGCTTTAATGGTACTTCAGATGGATTGAAAATAGGAAAAGGAAGGCGGAAAAATCTTAATGAATGTCTCATCATCCTAAAGACACTCAATGCTTCCTTTGCCCTTCTTTTAATACTATATAACTGTAAGCTTGGGGGTTTTATTTGTTTTTTCTACAAAGTCCATAGACCTCTGCATCTTAGAAAAGCACAATAACAAAAATGATGAAATTACAAAGTGTATTTTGTATTAAGTATCTGGCCTGAAGATTGGTCAATACATTTTAAGAGAAATAGCAAGGCTTTAATGAATAACAAGCCTATTGAAGTCTCAGAGAGCAGATTTCATTAATAGCAATTTTCCTATACCAACTTCGAATAAAAAGAAACAGGAAAGGGAAGGAAGAAAAAAAAAAAAAAAAAAAACAAAAAACCAAAACCAGCTCAGTTTTAAATAAAGACTGAGATGCAATTAATTTTTTTAAGATTAGTTTCAAAATGCATTCTTGGTTCTTGTAGGAAGGAGTATGAATAGTTTTCTGCATTATTGTCTAATTAGCAACTGTTGCATTTAATCAAGGCCCCTCTGAAAGTGTTTCATTCTCCTGTATTGACCATGAGCAACTGCATGCTGCACAGCAAACAGCGACCGTATCTGCAGAGGGAGCTGCAAATGTCTGTAATTTGTTTTCTTTTACTTGTTAGGAATACAATGATTAACTCTGAACTACTGAACCAAATGACTGTGTTGTAACAGTCCCCTCTCTCTCTCAAGGCACATTTAATTACTCAGTGCCAACATCATGTAGTTTTCCATATGCAAAACTTTCAGTTGATTCAATAGAATATTTGCATGCAGAGAAATGAAGCATTTACAGATGTCCTTCCTACACAAGAGTGAGCTGCTTTATTTTCACACAAGTTGAGGAATTCCAAGGCAGCTAAGGATATTCAGAAAACTGCAGGATTAAGTCATCACTTAGAAGTTTTTTATTAATTGTACCAACAACATCCTACAAATTTTAGGCTCACACATAAGAAAACACAAAGTAAACAAAAAAATTACTAAACTATACAGAGAGAATTGAAAATGTGTAAAGGAGATGCTGAATGGGACCAAAAACTAAAATGATGATTCTTTAAAAAAAGACATTCAGAGGTCAAGTGTTTCATTTTTAAATGTATAGCTTAATCTGATGCACACAAACGTCAATAAAAAATTAACTAAACCAGAGCTCATAATGCACAGTACTTCACAGCACAAACATGTTAAAAAATTCAGCTATGACAAATGGAACAGCTGTAAATACCTAATACGTATCCCAGTAACTATTGCCTGCCAATCTGTATTTTCTGCAGTCACATTCAGTTGCTTAATTGCAAATAAATGTAATTAAAAGTGATACAAGTCAAAACTTAGAAGTTGGAATGCTAGAAAAAGGAGACAAATTATTTCTGAGAGTAAAGTTTTTCTTGAAAATCTGACTACAATAATATTAAGATGGTGCAGATGAGTAAAGTTAAAGAAAATTGTGCTTAATAGAAAAAGTAAAAATATTTACTTTCACTTACACGGATTCATTTTTAGCTATTTTTATGATGGAAATGTTCTGTACTGTTATATCTTAGTTGCACGTTGCCTCAGACCTATGAGAGAGGTACACAGCTTGTCATCTTAACTGTGTAGCCTTGGGGATCCAGCAAATGCACTCTATGACTAGGGCTGTTCCTTTCCTAAGCCTTCAGCAAAAGCTGTACTGTGCATTCTGAATTTCATTGGAACAAAATGTGTGTCACACATTACATTTAATAAGTCATTTTAAAACCCCGTAATTTTATGGTGTGCCATTGTACCCATCCAGAAATTCGACAAAGTCACCCTCCATTCCTCCAGTCCTTTGAAGCAGGAAACTCCTCCTGCAGTAAATGGGAGTTGCGTGTGCACAGGACTGCTATCAGGCCAAAGGAGCACAAAGAATGCAGTCAAGCATCAACATTATTTCTACAGCTCAAGCAATTGTTGATTCACTGTCAAAGGACAAGCAACAAATAAGCCAAAGTTTAAGTCCGCTAGAAATATCAAACATTTTTCATACAGCAGAATCCTATACTCAAGTTACCTTGCCACATGTGGATAGTATATATTCATTCTTGTAAGGAAATATTTATATTGATAAAGAATAAAACCATGGAATTATAGCTTCAATAGAGTAGCTTAACACTGACTAACTTAAATGCTAACTTGGTTGCATACCGACAGCTACACACAAATCACACCCTATTGACTATTTAAGAAATACTTTCTACTGCAATTGATTTAGAGAAAATTAATCGTCATCATCACAATTTCATGGCAAACGTGCCCTCTCAAGAATCAGTCTGAACATTTCCAGCAGAGCATCCCAAGCGATGAGGCACTTTCCCTTGGTAATCACCCAGAGCGTGAGCTTAACAGCCCTCAGGACCCCGTGCAAGCCAAGTCCTTTTGGTCAAGTATTTGTCTTTCCACGGGTTGCCACGAAGGAGATTTTCAGATGACAGTTCAAGAGCTGTGCATGGAATGCATTAAAGCCACTTTAGGCTACGGTTTATTTTCCCCGTATGCATCTCCCCGTTCGCCTGCACGCCCTCTCCAGCTTGGGCCACAGCTCACGATGCACGGCAGAAGGAAGCACTTACACTATTTTCACTCAAATATTAGACTCAAGGTCCAAATTCCTAATTACAACTAAACCCAAGTCAAAAAACCTCCTACAGTTAATCCTAATTCAGCCTTTTAGACTTCCACTGGAGAAAAATAAAAGACAAAAAAAAGTCTCATGTCTCAATTTATGCTGCTGGTAAATCTCTTATTAATTTTACTAAGGGACTTGCAAAAATCTGAGGATGTCATGGCTCTGAAAGTCTCAGAGCAAAAGTTTATTGACAAGTGCAGCATTAGCTTGGCTAAATGTTGCCTACTGAGAGACGAAAAATATGATCAGTTAATTCTGCCTTCGTACCTGTTTGCTGAAAGCCTGCAACAAAACCGCCATCATATTATCTATCCAAAATCTGAGCCACGCTTTTCCAGACATTTTATTCCACAAATACTCAAAGGAAAAATGGATTAAGTTGAGGATAAAAGTGAAGAAAGAAAACAACAATGAGCTTTGTTGTCAGACAGAGGGAGCGGCTGCCGTGCCGGCCTGGCCGGGGTGTATTCCCAAGCCAGCCATCATTAACGGACTCACTTCCACCGAGAAAAAAAGGGAGGCCTGAAAGTGCCGGACAAAAGAAATCCCAGCAGACAAAGAAAAAACAAATTAAAAGCACCATTATAAAACACAGATGCTATAAGGAAAATAAACTTCACAAGATTTACTGGTTTTTGACAAAGCTGGACATCTGTGGAAAAGACATCAGGAGCAGCTCCCAGGTACGGCCTGGCCGGGCCCACGGCCCCGCTGCTTCGCCCTCAGCTCCAACCTCACCACCACGGCCCCGTGGGCAGACATTTTTATTATACTATATTGTATTGTATTATATTATAAGTTTCATTTACGATTATTTTATTGACAATCATTGTTAAACCTAAAAAATACTCCTAAGGCCTGAATGTGAGATTTAAACATTCGATCAAATCACACATTTCTCAATTTTCGAAGTATATTTTTGGATACGAAAGGAAAGCTATAACTAGGGGAAAACATGCTAGACTTGTGAGCTTATAACACTATAAAAAGCATTCAATTAACTGATAGCAATTAATATGGTAAACTTGTCTTCTTCTGATCAACAAAGAGCCTTGATGAATTCAGGCCAGATTTCAAACTGGTCAGCATTTGAACGGAGTACTTCAGGGCACTACCGTCAGAGA